TCACCGGTTTTTAAAAACACAAAGATCAGCCCAAATCAGGATGTTATATTCAAATTTTACAGAAAAATTATTTCTCCATTCCATTATCCAATCTTGAAATAACCATTAATCATCACCTTCATCAAGAATACACAGGGAATTATTGTGTCAAAGAAAGAGAAAAAAATAAATCATGTATAAATATAACTTCAAAATGAAAATAAACATAACAAGGTTTTCAAATCTATCCAAAAAAGGGTTGTAAAAATCCTAATAACATCCTGAAGACCATTCTTATTAATCGGCTTGACAATCTTAAAGTGCTTTAGTATGAAATGCATATGATGTGTTAGAAATAGCTAACAGCTAATAAATAGCTCATAAATTTCTAATGCTTTAGAAATAGCTAACTTCCTGCATGGATTAGAAACAGCGCTTGACATGGTATAGAAACAGATCTTTGAAGGCATAATTATACATTATTAAAATCTCTAATGAAATAAATGTGTCACTTGCTACATAGCTGAAGGTCAACCTATTTCAGAAAAATTATCTAAATAACTAAAAAGTTGATATGTGCGCTATTGCTTACGTCAGTGTACTTAAATGTGGACCTTTATGCACCTACATACAGTATACACACACACAAACCCTCATATACAAATGCTGACACACTCGCACATATTGTAAAAAGTTACAGATACATATATACATACATATCTATGTATATTTACACAAAAGACACGCCCATTTGTGCAAGCCTGCCTACATCTATGCAAACTAACAAACTCAAGCACGTACATGTGTAGTACTCACACACACTCACATTCATTCAAGTGCATTTCACACAGACTCCCTCACATGCATTTATCACATACTCACTCACTATTATTGTAATTTAAATGATAAAAAATTCTGCCTGAGATAGGAGTAAAAAATACCTTAACCAAATAAGAACTTCTCAAAACTTTTCAAAATGGAGGTTTTAATATCAATCTTAGTTCTAATAATCTCTCATCCTTTGGATTCTGTTGCCAAACTGACGATCTTTGGTGAGCTTAAGCTACTCTGATGCACCTTTATGGAGGTACAATGTTAATAACCATAAAATATTAGCACAAACAGACTGCAGCCTCTTTTGAAGATACAGTTCCTGTTTATGTATAAGAACACATAAAACACTCAAACTAAATAATATGAAATAAAAGCAAAAATACTGTTGTACAGTGAATATATACTTCCTTTATACTCTTCTATCAGATCTATACTAAGTCCAAGATTCTAAATATCATAAGAGTCAGATAATAACTAAATAAAAATGGGAATAATATTGCAATTCCACTAACATGGGATACCAAGTCAAGTCACCTTATCAACTTACAAAATCTACCTGTTGGCATTAAGTGTACAAATTCGCTGCTCGACTCAAATCTAAAACACAGATCAGCTGCATTTTGTTCTAACATTGTTAAACAACACGGCGAAGCTTAAAAAACGCTTGCTTAAAAAGGTCTAGAGGATGTGGCAGATGCTCTTCTCTCGGAATGGGTTGGCTCGAGGGTTCCTCATGGGGTGGCATAAGTAGTCGTCCTTTTGGTGCTCGCGGACATACTCCTGGAAGACAGAGGGTTGTTAGCCTTTGGAAGGGGGGGCACGTCGTCAGGCTGTCTTTGATGGGTCACATGTGTGTGTGTGTGTGTGTGTGTGTGTGTGTGTGTGTGTGTGTGTGTGTGTGTGTGTGTGTGTGTGTGTGTGTGTGTGTGTGTGTGTGTGTGCGTGTGTGTGTGCGTGCGTGTGCGTGTGCGTGCGTGTGCGTGTGCGTGTGCATGTGTGCCTATATATATAGGATGTATATGTGTGAGTTTGTGGTCATGCATATTTGTAGCTGTGTGTGTTCATGTGTGTGTATGTTTGCTTGTGTGTGTGTTTAAACATATACAACATATTTCCAAACCAATTTTTGTTTATAGACATCCAAACATTTAGAAAGAAATTTTATTCAGTGTATGTAGAAAATGCTTTCACAAGAGTGAAGGAAAGGGAAGTAGGAAGATGAAGAGGCAGATGAGAGAAAGAACGAGAAAGAGATAAAAATCCAATAAGACAGAAAGAGAGAAAAACAGAGAAAGAAGACATCATTCCAAATATATATATATATAATGCCCCTAGAAATTACAATAAAAAATATAAAAAATCCAGCATGCATGCTATTAGTTTATTAAAGGAATAACAATGCTGAGAACCTACGAACAGGGTTTAGAAAAAAGAGAGAGAGAAAAAAATAAATAAATAAATAAAATCAAATATATATCTCACACAGATCCATGCACTTACATTTATCATCATTTCTACATCTCATAAGATACAAAAAAAATTGAGGCAAAACTTCCTTTTAGATGGCAATGAATAAAACAGAACTTCCATATCTGTTCATAATGAAACCTTTAAAGAATTTGTCATATATATCTGTATTTATATATAAATTGCATAGTTCAATATTCTATTTTCAATAACCTATAAT